TAGTATTTCACACGGTTAGCTACATTGATTCCTTGCGATCTTGCTACGGCACGAAAAGTGCAAAAACGCATAATCGCACAGCACAGGGTTAGCTAATTTGATTCCTTGCGATCTTGCTACGGCACGAAAAGTGCAAAAACGCATAATCGCACCGGCCCGCCTCTACACTGACTCCTTGCGATCTTGCTATGGTACGAAAAGTGCAAAAACGCATAATCGCACCGGCCCGCCTGGCGTTCCAGCCTGGGTTTATGCGTTTTTGCCGTGCAGCGTTAGAGCGCTGCAACAGGCAGCAAAAACGCATATTGGAACGACGTGATTCTTTTGGTTGTGTGCTTCTTTACCAATAAAGGATTGTTTGTTAGTTTGGGTGTGTGCTCCTCGCATCTTCACACCTACAGCCGCGCAATTCCTCCGATCGTTACACAGCCTATCGACCGTAGCACAAAAGCATATGATACATTTACGCAACGTCGCACAACTACACTCATTTCTGCAGATGACCAGGTACTGGTTAGAGGGTATCAGAAACTGTATAAAAGTTTATCGAACACAGTAAGAACGAGCGGTAACAACCAAAAATAAGGCACGCGCTTGAAAGATTTTGGGAAAATATTTGACAACTTCAGACGGACATCCTCATGATGAGAAGCGCGCACTACTGAAACGAAAATACCCAGACAGATGGAATCTGCTGCTATCCAAAACAGCACAAGTGGCACGACATGAATCATTTCCTGACATTTTCATTATCAGCAGCAATATCAATTTTGCATCACCGCGTAAAACGAAGTTTATTTTACAGGGTTATAAAAGAGAACAAGCGATAATAGCTGGTTGGCTTCGGCCGATCAGCATTACGCTTCCGTCCCAAGAACCATCAAGAGTATAACCAAAGGCAGGATTCGAATCATTCTCAGCAAACCATAATAATTTAGGTAACGATGCATGCGAAATTTTTTGCGCTGCTTTCCCCGCAGATTTTTACCAATAAGTAGCGCTCTTTCTCCGGCAACGCTCAGAAAAATTTAGCAACCTAGCTGCTCTAGCTAGGGAGTCAAATCGCACGTATCTGTACATGAGATGCAGAGAGAACATGAAAGTTCTTTTTAAGTATACTTTCTCGAGCATAGTCGAGGGAATGTTGAAAAAATTTCAGCACTGCAACTGTTATGGATGCAGGGTTACGTCATCTTATGCGTTCGTGCGTGAGAAGGAAACGCGCATGTTGATTTTGTGCGCATCTACCCAATCACGGCTGTTAGTTAGGCCCACTACCACTCTAGCTGCTTTAATTTTAGAGTTACAAAACTGCCTACGTGAAATTCCACGTGCCCACAAGATGTGAAGAGGCGCGAAATGTCGTTTTACTTCCACGAGTACTGGGGCGGCAAGAAGCACTGAAAAATTATAGCTCTCACTAGCTTTCTACAAGCCGGTGTGGTGACAAAAGAATCTAAAATTTGGCGTGCTTATAAGTAAGACCTTCAAATGCATAAAGGCTATTTTCGAATTCTTCCAAAAAACATCTTCGTGAAGTTTCAGTCCTCCAGCTCGCTTGATTTTCGAGACTGCCTTCTCGCTAAAAAATTTTCCATGCTTTTGTGTTTGAAAACTAGGAAACTGTGAACATTTATTTTACACCTCAGGGCCTGCACGTGCAGACTAATTCGCCAGAGTTTCAGCTTCATAGCTTTCGCATGTGTCCAGATCCACAATTGCGGATACAAATACTCGTACAACCTTTAAAAATATGCAACGCATAGATGGAAAAAATTATGAAAATTAATACATACCATAATGCAAGAACGAATAATTTACGAGATTAAATAAAAATCTGGAACTAATAAAACACTGTGAACTAAAAAATAACGGAATAATTTATACCACAGACGGCATCTTCAATGTTCAAAGCTTATCAAATCTAAATATCGAAGCTATAATTTTTCAAGACAGCAAATTTCTTGAGAAAAATCAGAAATATATAAAACCTTACAAACCGTAGTACAAGCAGAAGCAAAATACTCACAAAATTCATGAGAAACCATACGCCACAGACCACTTGTAATATTTGTCATCGAATGAGCGATTTCATCAAAAATAAAGTGTACAAGAATTTCACCGCACACAGCAGTAAGGCTACCAGAGAGTGTCAAAAGCTATTGTGATTTTGCACATAAAAAGGGTGAAGAAAGCAGAACAAAAAATGGAAGACCACAGGCAAACCAATTTCAGGGAAATTTAAAAATCACGCGCAGTACGCCAAGACCAATAGGTAGACCCCGACAACCAGAGAGGAGCGTGTGAATGCTAAGTAAGAATTGCCTTTTCGAACTGTTCTGGCATAACTTCAGACTGATCCTCCTCCTCCCCCGCCCATTCCCTGCCAGTCAAAAACAAGAAAACATGTTTGTACAACGTCACCACACAGAATAACTGATTGACAATTTTTTTATGTTGCTAAACGAATCTCAAGTTTATAACGCAGAAATGAATGACAAACCTGTGCTGAATTTGTGGCAAAAAGGAAGGGAATTGCCAGATCACATTTTTTTTTTCTGGTAGAATCATCGGCCCTTGACTGCAACACCGTCAAAATTGTGGCAGGTCCGCAAAGGAGAACAATAATAATAATGATATGATGCTAGTGATAAACGGGCCTCAAAAACAGATAATAAGACGTCAATTAACTGTGAAGGATGAACTGCATGAAGCAAGAGGATCGTAGGAGTTAAGCGGGTGGCAAACCATGTATCAAAATCTCGATTAGAAAGCCTTCGAAACACGGACAAAACAAGAAATTTCGAAAACGTTCAGCATACTGACCTTGACAATGCTTTCGCAAATAACCGTGTAACCTATTGCTTTTGTCATGTCACTATTCAGCTGAGAGGAGCATAATACGAAAATTCCGTTTGAACCGATGGCACACAATAAATGCAGCGGATGCAAGAAGACGCAGATGAAGTAAGATAACAAAAATTTTCCACAATCCATCAGGAGTAAATTGGAGGGGGTATCGCCATTGCTGCAGCTTCCCATTCAACGGGAAAAAAGCAGACTGCCGCGAGCACGGCACTGATAGCCAATATGAGCAGTTGCCAGTGCAAAAGCAACAAAGATCCGTAGTAGAAACTTGCACAAGCGGCAAGCGACTGAAAAAACCACAGATTATTAACAGAAGAGATAAGATTACAGTTCGCTGACTACCCCAGGACTGTAGTTCTGATCAAATATGAATTAAATCAGGGATAATCCGTGGGATAAACCAAACGATCATAATTTAAATTTTTTTTTTTGAGACCACAGGTTTTTTCGTGCGCGCCTTCAAAGATATTTTTATTTTATGAAACAGACAAAAATATTACGTATTTTGGAAGTTTCGAAAATTACCTGATAAAATTTGTACAGTGCGAAAGCATTTGAACTATTGATACTATAAAGTGAACCGAGAAGCGAAAAAATTTGAGTGCTCCAACAACTATCAGCAAATCCAAGCAAGAAGCCACTAAATATAGCGATCGCATAACTAAAAAAGTGAGGCAAGTGATAAATGAATACTATTTTTTCAAAAAATTAATAAAATCGCCGGTTTCAAAATCACAAAAAAATCTTTTTAACTTACTTTGGCTCAATGTAACCTTCGGCATCTGTCCTATGCAATGGTGCTTCCATCGGTATATTTAGAAAAATGAGAAAAAATGCCAACAGATGAATGACCGTGCCCAATAGTATTATCGGGTTTCGCCCATATGCAACCGAACGTTTCGCAAAAATTCCAAACGCAAGACCACCTGAAAAGCAGGAAAAAATAAGGAGACCACCCACACTGTGATGAAGGAAGTAAATAACATGCGGAAAAAGAGATTTTTCAAGATCTAAAGTTATGAAAGAAGAGAAGCGATTCAAAACCCCTCATGAACTGATTCAAAAGCTTAGCCATTTAGGAACTCGCGCTTCTTGTGCAGCCCTCAGAACAAAGAATTACGCACAATCTTATCAGCATTTGTACCACTGTCGAGCTCTGGCTAAAATATCTCCAGCTCTCTTGGCGAAAAGAGAACGGAGAAAGCCCTGAGATTCAAATGCCAAGCCACAGTGAAATTATCCTTGAAAAGCAATGTTTGGATACAACAATCGAACGAAAAAACAAGACACAGTAGAAATATTTTCACATCTAAAGCTATCGTACCAGATACTTCCCCTATTCCAACAGCAAGAGCGTTGTACGCGATGATGAATCCGTTGTCTTTGAGCCGCTCAAAAGCTGCCAAACATGCCGAGTAGACTCCCGTGTAGAATGTCATCTCAGTGCCCGTATAAATGAACGTAACAGCCAGTAACAGCATTCGTCGGGTACTGGCAACACGAAGCGTGTTATCTACAAGAATCCAACTATTATTTTTTCCAAAGCTGCAAACGACAGAAAAAAAAACATGAGAAATTAAACAGCCGGAGGATAAAAGAAGAGACGATAAAGTGAGACGGCAAGAAGGACGGAGAGGAAACGAGAAGAGGAGACGAGGAGAGGCAGGCCGAGGGTGGGCGAAGTGCCAAAATAAGTATTCGGTCAATGATTGCAAACTTCAGGCATTCAGTTCCAAATTCATAATAACTGCCAAAAAACTGCGTCTGTACGAGAGCAGTGAAACAAACACAAGTAATGTGGAGAAGGCAGAAGGCCCGCTAACCCACCGACACAGCAACGTACAGCGATTTCTTTGACCTTGATAGCCATGCCATTCTTTTGGCTATACTAACTAAATGAGCTGCTATGCGGTTAAATTTGAAAATCAGATCCAGCTACACTAAATTTCAGTCAAAAGTGAGTCCTGACAAAAAAAAAACTGAAATATTTCAAGCCCATTAGTTCGCAATCAAAACGCCAACTGTTCCTCTACGTAGATTCACAGGTTTCTTAGTTTAATTTTTCGCTTAGAACCGCAATTTCGCAATTTACGGTCAATGTGGTTTAGAACGGCTTACAATGCCAGTTCACTTTTGTACCCCAATCATTTCTTCTTTTCTGTGCAAATAAGCCTGGTGCTACCTCTGCTTTCTCCGTTACACAATGTACGACTGCCAAGCAGTGCACTACCAGTTTCAATGTAAATCAGATTATCGGTTTAATACGCAAGGAAGCTAGGAAATTAGTGAGAGGTTCCTCGGCCGGTTGAAGCACGAACAATACCGACTTTAAGTCGACCTACTGACACATACACATACACACACACACACACACACACACACACACACACACACACTGACAAGTGCAACAGTCGAGATGAACTAACAAAATTCATCCTTCCAGGAAACAACTGCTCGTGGTGTCACCACACCACGTACAGGACGAGTCTGAAAACTGATTCGGCCATCCACAACATCAACATCACTTCCGCCATCATCCGCCACGCTTTCGTCCCAGTCCAGACTAATTGGCAGCAATGCTAGCGCAACTCCACCAATGAAGCTAACCCCAGCGAACGATGAATACATCAATTTCACCGAAGTAAGAACTGATCTGAAAGCATCTATTTCGGCTTGTCGCACCAAAAGCAAAATCGCTGAACAATTTTGGTAAAAGGGAATGAAACACCATATGTTTTCCGCACATAGATTTATTCAAGGGCAAGCATTTTTCTGTTTTACTCAGGCGTACGTGAAAACACTGCCTAAAAAACTTCAGTGATTAAGTTTTTTAAAAAAAAAAAGTGAACCCCATGAAGGAGATACAGAACAGAAACAGTCCGCCAAAGATAAAACACGACTGCGTCATCGCCCAAAGAATGCCACTGTTGCGCGCAATTGTATCCGCCCGTGAACAGGCCGTCAAATAAGTTCCTTGGCCAGTCCAGATCACTAAAACCAATGAAAAATGCGCAGAATTCCGGTGTACGCACAGAAATTTTATTAAAAAGTTCCCCCAAAAACGTATAATAAGTCTGTACGGAGTTATTGTCGTCGTATCTAGAAAAATGAAGAGAGGATGCACAGATTCTCGTATTTAATTAAAGGTAATCTAAAGTTACCAAAAGCTTCGGGTATATATCAAATTTAAAACCGAGTGATGCTGAAAAACTACTCTGGGAAAACTGATGTCACTGAAGAAAACTGCTAAATTCTGTCACAAAAGCGGAATAGAAAATTTTATTCAGAAAACGGACAGAGCACAATTTTTTGGTTTACTTCTGAAGAGTCAGATTTATGGCGTGAGAGGCGGCATTTATTTGTTTTCCACATTTCGAGAACACTTTAAACCGGAATTATTAGCAAGAGCAAAGATGAGGCGACTACGACTAACTTACTGGCAGCGCCAAAGCCAGCAAGCGCAGAAAGTGTATAAAGAACGGGTGCACTGAGGAACAAGAAGCCAAGCATAAAGAGGCAGTACATTAAAGCTCCAATAACCATTGCCCATTTCGAACTGATAACACTGATCACTGCCGGTGCAAGCAGATTGGAGAACGTGAACGTCAGGTAAATGATTGCCAAACTGAAAATAATCTCCAGTTTGTTAAACAGTGCGACAGCCTTACTACAAATAACATTCAAAGCAACTGCTCATATGCTAACAATAAGTTGTGCTATTGCAACCTATACATCTCCGCTAATAATGCAACAACAAACAGTGCAAAACTGAAGCCTAGAAATTTATGTCAAATGTTCACATTCACCGAGGATGTCGTATGATGTTCTATCGGTTTCCCGGAGAAAATATCCGTGAATTCATCCCACAACAGTGACTTGCAATTGCAAGTGCATATCGAGAGGTCCAGGCCTTTTCACGGCGTCAACCGTTAATATTTGAGATTTCTGGCAACCCCTCGCCCTCCAATTGCCGACCCACCACCGCAGACCGCGCAGATTCCTAAGGCCCAATTTTACAATTTTACTTTCCCAATTTTACTTTCCAAGCCTAGCTGCACTGCCTTCTGGACATGCTTGGAGCCGTCACGGTCGTGCCTCGACGCTGCCCAGTCCATTGCCACCATGAGCCGTACGTTTTGGAATATTGCGTGAGAAACACATAATAAAAGCAGTAGATAGACACAAATCACAGGAGTGATGCACTGAATATAATAACCGCATATAGCCGGTTCTACTAAGGCAGTACAGGCGGCTGCATAACTGATGGAGTAGCCATCGGCTTGTCTCTGAACAGCCCTCGAAGGAGGATACTAACGACACCGGTTGCCAACAGCTATTGGCAGCTGCTACCACTGCAGCTTATTACTTCCGAGCGAGTGAATACGAAGGGAATTATGAGAAGCTTCTCGACGTCTGTGACAACAGTAGCTGTCAAAAAACAAACCTATAATAGCCGGACTGCTCAGTGATACCGGAGGATGGACGTTCGTCAGCAGTATTTTTCAAGACAGCGATCTGAATCAGTGAAAATGAAAAGCACTACAAAAGCCAACATTCACAACAAACAGGCCCAAATGAGAGCTTACCAGAAAAAAGACAGATTATTCGACTGCAACGCAGCCGAAGCTAGCAAAAAAACATCAGGGCAGCTATGCCACGTCAATGCCGCAGTGCAGCAAAAAGAGCAGGGGCAGGGCAGCAGGCTGAGAAAAGAACAACCCATGAGAGGCACGTGCGAGTCGGCATCATCAGCATCGAGTAGCTAACAGTGCGGCGCAAACGAGCACGGGGTTGCAAACTAACTTCGATGAAGCCCTGGCTGTTGAAGGCCGAGAAGAGCAGCATAAATCCAAAGCCCAGCTGAAGAATGCATCGTAAATCCTTCTCAATCAATCCCATTCGGCGCCGCAATGAGCGAAACTTCATCCAATTATGCTAAAAAATAAATAAAATAACAAGCCGAGCACGCCGACGTGCCCGGCCGGCTGGTCCACTGCTGCAGCTGAGAGCACGCGCTAGTAGTACCATCGTGCAGGCACATTTGCAGTCTTTAGCAGTGATGATGGTTTTTGAACCGGTGCTCGTTGAAACCCTCCTCTCTCACTCGGTGTGTGCGTGTGCGTGTGTGTGTATGTGTGTGTGTGTGTGTGTATGAAAGCATTCCCTACATGCCGCTAATTTCTTCATGCAAATCAAATTAATTCGGAGCAACGCGAAAATGCTTTTGTGCACCAATCTGCCTCACCATCTAAGTCAGTGTGGTACCACATGCACCGATCCGTCACTAATAATCTTATTTTCGTCACTTACAAATTATGGGTTTAAAACGGAGAGAGTTGGGGT